TGTATGTATGTATGTATGTATTGTAATGTATGTATGTATGTATGTATGTATGTATGTATGTATGTATGTATGTATGTATGTATGTATGTATGTATGTATGTATGTATGTAATGTTATGTATGTATGTATGTATGTATGTATGTATGTATGTATGTATGTATGTATGTATGTATGTATGTATGTATGTATGTATGTATGTATGTATGTATGTATGTATGTAATGTCTGTATGTATGTATGTATGTATGTATGTATGTATGTATGTATGTATGTATGTAATGTATGTATGTATGTATGTATGTATGTATGTATGTAATGTATGTATGTAAGTATGTATGTATGTATGTATGTATGTATGTATGTATGTATGTATGTAAGTAATGTATGTATGTATGTATGTATGTATGTATGTATGTATGTATGTATGTATGTATGTATGTAATGTATGTATGTATGTATGTATGTATGTATGTATGTATGTATGTATGTAATGTATGTATGTAATGGAATGTAATGTAATGTAATGTAATGTAATGTAATGTAATGTAATGTAATGTAATGTAATGTAATGTAATGTAATGTAATGTAATGTAATGTAATGTAATGTAATGTAATGTAATGTAATGTAATGTAATGTAATGTAAATGTAATGTAAATGTAATGTAAATGTAATGTAAATGTATGTAATGTATGTATGTATGTAATGTCATGTAATGTCATGTAATGTAATGTAATGTAATGTAATGTAAAGTACTGTAATGTATGTATGTATGTATCCTTGCACTTCCCCTTTGCTCCCCAGTATTTCCCGCAAAAAAAAACACGGTTTTTCCAGCGTTTTCGCAAAGAGGACGTCCAAAAACATTGAGTTTTTCCAGATTTTCGGCAAAAGGATGCAGGAAGCCCAAGCCAGCAAAAAAGCCGGCAGGGGAATCGAGCCTGGGACCCCTGTTTTGCGACACCGGCTCCCCGAAGACTACGTTTAGTGGAACGTCATCAAATTGCCGCGCGGTACGTGGGGGACCCCCCCCCCCCCAAAAACCTACGTAATAGACGTCGGGCGGGGGGGGGTTAGGGGGGGGTTATCCTCTATCCTCTAGTAAGTATCCGACACGCCGAGCAATGTCGGCGGATATTGTCCTGTAGCTCCCTTTTCTTCGGCGTGGCCATCCTCTTAAAGGAGAGCTCCATTTTAGTCAAAGGAAAAGGGGGGATTAAGGGTCAGCCTGCATGGTGTCCTTTCTACCATTCTTGGTTTTGGACTTGCAACCAGCCAGTCCAGTGACATCAGTTTTCAGGTGTCTCTTTTGGAGACGGGGGCGACTTTCCAACCAGGCACATGAGTCAAGGGTAGATAGTTTCTTATTCCTCCAAAATCAATTATGCCATGTGCTCTTGTGCTTGGGGTGGGCATCACACTAAAAGTTGGTGTTCGGCTATTGGTTGCTTTGTTGTTCAACTTTATTTGGTGGTATTCTCTCAGGCCTGTTGTTTTGTTCACGCGCAAACAAAACAGACATCAGACTGACTCCCCTTTGGGGGCCCACCAAACACCTGGGTGTCTTTTTTTTGCAGCACCCCCTTGTTGGGTTGCTTTTAGGGGGAAACGTGGGGAATCCAAAAGGAATATCATCATTTTGGGAGGTCCCCTAACACAAGACACCCCCACATTCCCTTGCAGTCTTAAAGAGACCAAAGCTGGGAGCGCTCCGTTTGGGGCGTATCTTCTCGTTTTGGTTCCTCTTCATAGTATGTGGATTCTTTCACTTTTTTGGGGGGTGGTTCAGTTCCCTAAAGATGACAATCCCTCCCCCCCCCTCCTCACCACCTCATGCAACCACGATAACCCTTTTTGGGGGTGGTTTTGAAGCGAAACCAACCACGAGCATTAGGGCCCATTAAAAACCAGCACCCCCCCTTTCCGCCCAAATCCAAGCGCCGCTTTTCGGGTTAGGTGAGGAAGGTGCCTCCTGGGAAGCTCTCCCGGCACAAGCTCCTCAGGGAATGGGGCCTGCTCCACCGATGGCCAAATGCCGGGCGGGGACCTCGGACAACGCAACCAACGGTCAGCGAATTTTCGGTGGACTCCCTCAGTTGCTCAGTGGCACCCTTCTTCCTATCTTTTCTTGGGTGCTGCCCCACCAAAAATGGTCTTCCCCAAAAAGGGCTCCCTTTTTTTCCCAGGGTCACTGAAAACAACTGAGTTCCTACAGCAGGTGGATGCCACCTTTTCTGGGGGCCTGGGGTTCCCCTTTGGAGACCAACCAGGCAAGGCTGGGCTGCGAGATACGCGATTCCTCTTGCCCAGCTAGTGGCTTCTCATGCTGCGGGATCACAGGTTACACATTTGGCCATGGGTCAAACTCCAAAGCCTGGTTACCCCAGAGTGAACATCCCAATCCAACCACTAAAATAGGTTCTAAAATGGGTGGTGAATTCGCCTACCCCAAAATGTATTATCCAAAATGGGATCCGATTGGTTTTGACCCACAACCATTTGAATTGGGGGTCGCCCCCAATGGCGGCCCAGTTTATGGTTTACATGATGCCTTAAACAGAAGCATGGTGAAAGATTGGTTGAGAAAAGGGCATACATGGCGTGGTGGAGCCCTCAATCGCGCATTCGCTTTTCTCAGTGTCCGCTTCCAACTACACAAATGGGGTGGGTGCACGTGACACAGTGGCTATGTTCAGATCATAAGTCATGGGCCCCACGTGCCCCTTGTGAAGACGCAGGTTCCAGTGGAAGTTCCAGGCAAAGTTTAAGGCAAGGCCTGTGTAACCCTTCTGACCATTTGGTGGAACTTGCTGGAACCCAAAGTCAATCGGCTTTGAGCGCAGGCGCAAGTTCAAGCTGAAGAGGTCCGGCTGAAGCTATGCCAAAGGCTGCAGTGCGCAACCGGAGTCGGGACAAAATGGGGCTGAGCTCTCGAGTGTGTATGTTTGCCCAGGCTTTCTTTGAACGGTCCAGATGAATCGAGGCAAAGGCTGCGACAAATGCTTAAAAACTGGTCACATGCTCAGGAAAGCACATCCGAGTGAGTCAGGATCCATCTTCAATTGCCTGGGTGTCGAAGTCTCTCAAAGCTGCAGGCGATTTTATGACGGCTGTTTAATCAACAGGAATTTGCTCGTGATCTTACAGTGTAAATGTTCTGCAAGTACACATGACTCATGCCAGCGTGTATAGGTCCACACTCGCAATACACATGGACATCGTTGCCCATATGCACTCATACATGTATGCGCATACGTACAACAAAGGAATCATGTTGGGACTTGGAAGCCAAGTATGTTTCGCAAGAATGTTTCGCGGGTATGATACACATACCTTATATAAAGCTATGCAGACGTACAGGCCAGTGAAACCTAAACCTGGCAAAGAAAAGCCTTCAAAGTCATCACGCGGAATCCCGAAACCAAGACAGAACCAACCCAAGCCCCTATTGACGTTCCTCATTTTTCCACTGTGAAAAGGCACCTTCTCTGTGTCAGGCTAGGCAAAAAAGACACACACACACAGCGTCATTGTTCTCGAATGGGCCCAAAAGGACCGCAATGGAAATCCTGGTCGGCTTGCTCGCCCAGTGAATCAGCTTGGCTCAACGGGGTCGCTTTCACATGAAGCGCAAGGCGCAGGCGCAATCCGCTCGGGGGTTGGCACGTCTGGATCAAGCGTCGCAAAGGTCATAGGACCCAACAGCCCCGCAACTTGCAGTTTCACCTAAATCTCAAGTGGGTATTTTTGTTTAAGGGGACCCTCCAGATAGTGGCGCTCCTTTTGGTTTCCCTTTGTTACCACAAGAAAGGGGTCCTCTGACACATCCAAGAAGAACGCTGACAAGGCGGGAAAAATGGAGTGCCTATATGGCGAATCACCATTGGAGAAGGTTGCTCGAATACTCAGGTCTCCTACTACCCAAGTATTCGAGACTAAATGTGAAACCGAAGCATGTGAGCCACATTAAATCCAAGCAAAACGGGTGTTTCGTTCGCCCGGAAGTGAGTTGTTCATTGTTTCTCCAGGGAAGACCATTATTTCGCAGGAAGTCTCCTGGCCTGCCCTTTCAGACGATTGGCGCGAACATCCTTGGGAAGGCTCCAAGCAAGCTGAAAAGAGCTTGCCTCTGGAATTGCGCTTGGGGAAATCTTGGGAATGCTGTTCCAAGGGGACAAATTGTCAGCTTTGCCTCATGCCGTCGCTTTGAGATGTGTTGATGTCTGCTTCGACCACATGGGTTTGGGGGTTTGCTTTATGCTTGCGCTGCTTGGATTTGTCCGAAGGAAACCACAAGAGTCTGAAAATTTATGATTATTTATAGGTGAGCCTTTTTGAGGGTGCCCCTTTTTCGTGGTTGTAAATTTAAGTAAGATTATACAAAAAGGACAACCGGACAACCACCATTCCCCCCCACAAAAAATAAATAAATAAAGCTACCTTTTGGTTTAACTGAGTGAGTCCCGGGTTCCCATTCAGATTCTTGGTGCCTCAAGGGGTGTCTTCTAATAGAGAGTCCAATGCTTACTCCTCCGCATATTAACATGGAGCCCTACATTTTTGGAGAGGTGTAAAAATTGGGGGCAGGGGTTGGGTTTCCGCGGTACTTTGAGGAGTACCACCTGAGGAGGGTTAAACCTACTGCCAGGACCCGCCAGACATGCCGTCCAAGCAGGATGCCATGTCGGCCGCGAACAAGCGCTTTGGCTTGGTGGCAAGACTCTTGATTCGGTGAACTGTGCTGCACGGCGAATGAGCAACGGACAATTTTGGGGAGGACATGGGCCTACCCGATTGTTCCCTATTCTCGCAAAAAACGGGGGGGGGGGGGGGAACTCAATTGAACCAAGTTCATGGGGAGTCTAACTATTCTCCACAAAAACCATCGACTCGTTGATTATTCCATGTCCTTTACAGGTGCTTTGTTTCATAAGGGGGCTTGTCTCAGAATGAGGGGGTGGGGGGGAAACATTGACGGATTTCTTGTTGCGTTCCTTTGAAGCGCAATCTCCAAAAACGAAAGCACAAGGGACGCATCGCCATTCGGGGGTTCGGGCGATTTTGCCATGATGCAGGCCCTTTACTTGGGGCTCCATTTCTTATATGAGGTTTTCGAATCATTGTACGACTTGCAGGGTCCAGAACGAGTATTCCCCAGCTAACCAGCAACCAGTTTTATCTTGTTGCGTGGGATCCAAGGCCAGCCATTTTCAAATCAACCCTTGAGATATGTTTTTGTGTGATTTGCAGATCCAAGCTTTCTTTCCGCCTGACCAGAAAGCCGTTTCTTGCGGATCGACTGTAGGGCCACCCAAGTAATTGTGGGTGGCTCTATCCTCAATCTACCATATCTACCCTAAAAATGGAACATATTGGGTTGCACTCACTGTTTTTGGTGGTTTTCATCCACCTGCCCCTAAGGAGGAAGTGGTTCCTGGATTTTTTTGGGGTTGCAATCCATTTTTTTGGGGATGTTGATGTTCAGGAAGCTCCTGCTGCAGCTGTTTCAGCGGGGCGACTTCCTGGGCGCCCGGCGCCGCAGCCAGGTGGTGCGGGAGGCCTTCCAGGCCACGGCCAACTGCCCAGGCGGGGCTTCGGGGATGGGGGGGGGGGCGGAAGGGGGGGCAGGGGAGGGGGAGGCTAGGTGCCCCTTTTTCAACCCCTTTTTGTTGGGGGGGGAGGAGGGTTCCCCGAATAAAATGGAGTACAGGAAAAGAGGTGGTTCCGGCTGCTAGGGTTGTGGGAAGGAAGTTATTCCGATATTCCCACTTCTGTGATACAAGGGAATCTCCCCCCGGAAAAATGGGGGGGGAGGTTTGCCTTTGAGAAGCCATTTCTTTCTGTTGTGTCACAGTGCGTTCCATGTCCCACAGCCCTGTTCTGGCGGTTTTTTGGACATCGACAAATTCATCGGGTTCTATATGAATGGGTCAACATTTATCTACAACACCTGGGCAAATTGCAGTAGTTTGCCAGGCAATTGCTCGTTGTCCCAAATTGGTAGAATAGCTTGCATAAAGTTAGCAAATGGGTCAAGGGTCCGTTTTTGTTGATATTAAAGTGGTTGATCCCGTTGACTACTTTATCACGGCAAAACTGGAAGCCAATGTCTACAACCATGGGGCGGGCGCGGCAAGATTGTGGAAAATCGCGGAGTAGGAAGAGACGACATCCCTTTGTGATCCAAACTTCCCCTAGTTCTTTGTTTCCAAATAGGTCCCTCAGGCGTATTTGTGCTGTTGACAGTTTTTTAACCAGTTTTTAGGGGCGGGGGGCACAAAGCTCAACCGCAGCTCAGGCACAAGTGTCACAAGTGTCGCATCTTTGTGCGCTCAACATACTCTGGAAAAATCCAAAACAAAAGGAAACCAGCAGGGGCCGATCCAGAGCCCCTCACCCCCAGTCTGCTGATGTGGTTGCCAAACCAAACGGCGCCTCCTATCGGAATGCAGAATAGGGTAAATGGGCAACCACCCCGGCACACGCACACAAAGCAAAACAACCAATTCAAACCACCATCCAAGCCACCAATTAGAGAGAAGCTGAGGCAACTGAATTATGGTTGCTTCCCTTGCAAAAGGCAACCCAATTGCCAAAGATAATTGAAATCATCTACAGACAGCGTTTGCGGATCTTTGCCCTGAAGCCAAAACCAAGACACTTACTATTGTCATGTTGATAGCATGTCTTCGCATACATTGCATTAGCTGAACTCATAATCTAACATGCCATGGGGTAGGTGCCCCTGTTATATGATTGCACACGCTATGTGATCATATCCACTATGTCAAACAAAGAAACACAAATAGATATATGTGATATATATATATATATATACCCGCAGGAGCCAACGTTCGCCGTCGCTCCACAAGGAAGTAAGTAGCAGCGTCGCCAAGGTTCGGGGGGAGAGGGGGTTGGGGGGGGGGGGGTAATAGCGTCCGTGCCAAGCAGAAACGGGGGGCGTAGTAGTGTCGCCGAGTATCTTCTGCGCGCCAGCAAACGTCCGTTCCTGCGTCGAAAACCAGTTTCCCCACTGCAATGCGAACGTCACGTTTTCGGGGGGGGGGTGGGGGTGGGTGGGGTGGGGGGGGGGGGTTGGGGTAATAGCGCACACCGCTCGCCTCGCTGTTTGCCAGCAGACGTCTTACCCCCGCGCCGAAAACTATCAGCGTGTCTCACGCGCTCGTCACCTTCCGGCTCCTGAGGCTAGATATAAGTATACACATATGCATGCAGTTTCGTTAGCCAATGAGAGCATGTTTACTGATGTTAGATGTCGTATCCGAGGTGTGACAGGCAGGCTGTGTTAGCTGAACTACATGGATCTCATGAGGTCATGTGCAGATGGCTTTACGTGATGAGTTCTTGAGAACAGACGAACCGCTTTGCTAGGGCATTTCAATGTGTCTTCATCGTGGAAGAAAATCCACGTTTTGTCCTCGGCTCATTTAACCAGAGAGCCTGGCCTTCAGGTGATGCTCAACGCATTGCGGAATTATAGGCTAGCTTGTAGTAGCGGGCAAGTGAAAACATCCCCGCGCGACGCTTTTGTCGCAGATTCTTTAGCCTGGCTGCCTGCGCAGTAAAAAGTGCTTGCGTGCGTGGGGGATCAGGCCTTCAGCATGTGCCGACGGCAAACGTTGGCTCTTGACCGTATATATATATATATATGTATATATGCCTATACGAGCCCAAATGAGTGGGGGTTCATCTTAGAGTCCACATGAGACCAACCGTGAATCGCGAGACCTGCTGCTTCAGAACTTCAGGCTGCGCGCGGCTTCATGCAGAGGGCAGGAGGAAGAAGCCGGAGGAGCCGGGCCACTGGGGTCATGGGAAGAAGTCCCCCAGCCAGGTTTTTGTAACCCCCTTTTTTGTTTGGCGGAGGGTTCCCCTTAGACAGAAAAAAGTTGGTACCCTTATTCGAACCTCTCTGAAGGGGCCTAGGGCAGAAACTGGGGTGGTTTCGTATAGGTCCATTTATGAACCCGCGGCCATTTTGGACCTCAACCCCCCATTGTTTTGCTATGATTGAGCCATAGCAATGAATTAACCCAGCTGGGGGTTCATACCTTGGGTTTTTGGGACCTCCAAACACAGGATCATTAGTTGCACTGGTTTTGGGGCAGCAAAGTCGCATGTCTCTTGGGATTCACCAGCACCAGCTAGGGGGTGACAACAAAGTGGTGAAACCATGGGGCCAGCAAAAGTTGCGTATCTGGAATCCAGAAAACTAGAACTCTTGAAGATGGCAGATCCTTGTGAATTCCTAAAGGGTCAGGGGACCTGTTCAATGAGCTGATTCGACAAATTCCGATGGCTTGCACCCAAGACCCAACCATATGTGCAGCATCTTGAAGCACGTGTGTTAAAACCATTTCTCAATAGGCGGTGCAACTCCCTCGAAACAGCAAGACCCAAGAGGCCCCGCGAACCGAGGAAGCAGCTTCAGGTGGTTGACTTCTGGCACCCAGAGAGGCTGACAACAAAATCAATCAAAACAACAACAATCAGTAAACATCCAGGCATGGGTTGTCGTGCTTAGGGGCTTTGGGTCAAGTCTGGGGTTGTGCGAGCTTTCCTTCAAGTGTGGCGTTTGCTGCGGGGTTTCATGAAATATGGCTCTGAATGTCAATGAACCCTTTGAAGAACATTATATACAAGTGAGATTTGTACTCACCTCCACAAGGCCTTATCTCAAATGAGATTGAACCCTGTTTTGGGACGGTTTACAAGTGATCTGAAGGAGACTGAATAGCCGTCCAGATGGGCCGCGTGCCTTTTGTGAAGATCACCCAGGTATGCTACTATACGACGATACTAGATATAAATTCACATGAAACAGCGAATGATGATGTGGCGCATGTCATATTTTATTGGACGGTATACGCCACTGTCGAGGCTATGCCAATTTCAGAAGTTTCCATGGCTCCCTGCTGGGCTGCCTGAGCTTATTAAGGTTGGTTGTCCCAACCCTGACTGTTGGCAATCACCCACCACAGTTTTGGCTGGTTTTTTCCCTACAGCTTTTCAAGCTTAGCCAGGGTGTTTGTGTATGATTCTTGGTGGCTTGGATTTGCACCCCTCGTTCTTGTGGATGGTGAATGGGACACCACCGAAACACCTCCAAGCCACCAATCCAAATCACCAACTGGGTAAGGTGAAGACTTGGCGGCTTCCTTCTGGTGTTCTTCTTTCTGGTATCAAGATGGGCACGCCGCGAGTGCCGGACTTTTCGCGGTGTTCAGGATGCCTTCAAAGCCATCGCCGCAGCGGAGCACCACTTCTTTGAGGAGGCGCGAGGTTCAAAGACCACCAACCAATGGGTTTGTGTCAAAGGGAAACCCCTGAAATGGCCGTCGGTCAAAACCATTTTGGGGTAGGTGCACCACCCATTCTGTCTATTTTAGTGGGGATTGGGATGTTCACTGGGGGTACGGGATTTTGACCCATGGCCAAATGGGCTTCCATGCCCTTTCAGTTTCCACAAAAACACAGCAAGACTTTGTTTGGAGTAGCGGTAGCCTAAGATTTGTGAAGTCTGGCTTTAGGTTTCAAAACTCTCTGTGACATCAGGGGTTCCTCCAAGTCACAAACCAGTCATCAGAATTACCCACTTGGCATCCTGCCGGTTTTGTGGCAAGCCATTTCACCGATGACTTCTGTTCTTATTTCCGGAGTGTAAAATAAAGTAAGTTGGCCAGATGGATATTTGGTTGGCAACGCACACATCAATGGCGACCAACCTAATTAACCTTTGGTAGCCCTGGTGAATGAATTGGAGTGTTTCCTCAAGTGATTCGGAAACGGGACAGGCCCCTAGTACTGAGACAAGTGTTTATGAATGTTGGGGTCTCATTATGATAGCGGTCTTCCCTTCCTGTCCCCAAGATCTCACTCCCTGAGTTCTTGGATTTGGTTTGGACCGTTCTAGTGGCAGGGGTATGGAAGATGGGGAGTTGCCGCAATCGTTGGACTGAGTGCAGGGATATTATGTTGCAGTTGTTGAATGTTTATCAAAGTCCAAGGCCCTCCCGTACCCGCTAGCAACCAGGGAACAACTTTGAGCAGGCTGAGTGTGGGAAATGCAAGTAAGCGTTGCATAGTCGGTTGGGGTGTGTTCACCATAGCATTGTTGGGCACAGGGATCCCTAAAGTGGGGCTTTTGATTTGGGGCCCGCAAAGTCACCCCAGGTTAAACGGAAACAGCCCCGGACTGGAGATCCTATATCTTGGGTTTCCATTCCCAGTCAAGGTCGCCTTGTACGGGCCTCTTTTTTGGGACCCGATGCCGAAGCCCGGCTGATGTTTGGCTGGACCTTTCTTCATGTGAACCCCAGAGTTGGACTGTTGCAACTGATGTCCCCCGATTTGCCAAGTATGGCCAACGGCAAAAACTCTGGCTGTCAAGGTTGACTTGATGCCATTCGCAGACGTCCAAGAACCAGCTGGAGCAGACCGCCATGTTGAATTTGCCAGACCTCTGTTTGTCAAACGGTCCACAAACTTGGAGCGGTGTATCGGCTCCAGGAGCAATGCGGAGAGCTTGGGCCTTTGGTGCACGGCCTGGCCAACCTGCGCCTCGGAGTCGGAGGGGAGAGGGAACCAAGATGACACGGATGAAACGATCATGCTTTGGTGCTGTGAAAATGGGCCTTTTACTCAAAACATGTTCCGCTTTGGAGAATCTGTCACTCGAAGGTCCATGTGAGATTCGAAGGTTGAGATTGATTTCTCGTAGCTTCTGAGAAAGGGAGATGACCATTCAATCCCCCAGCAAGCAGTCCGAATTCCAATTCAAGACGCATGACCACAACCGTGCTCATGTTTGTGTTATTGTGTCCTTCTAAAATGGACCTCGAGAAGCGAAATCGCGACCTTGCTTACCAGATGTGTGTGTGTGTGTGCGTGTGTCACCTCACCCACAATGTGTTCATTTTCTGGTTGGTTAATTGCTTTTCACCGAGATGCGCGTCTGCAATTTGGTTCGGGACACAAATGTAACAGAAGAGTAGAATTGTAAGCCAGGATCATGGAATCATACATTAAGTAATGTTAGTTCATGGGCAAGTTCATGGGTAGTGTTACATGGTGTTTTTCTTTTTTCTTGTTTGTTTGTTTGTTTTTTTTGGGGGCGGGGGGAGGGCCTTTGCCCCCAACCCAAACCAAGATTGCGTTTGTTGGCTCTGGCTAGGCCTGAACGGACCTCATGTTTGAGTTTGCGCGGAGATATGAAAATGCAGGGCACCCCCCAGTGGCTGTTTGTTGCTCCTGTTGCATTATGGGGGTGTCTTTCTTTAAGGGGCTCCCAAAAACTTGCCGGTTTTCCTTTTGGTTCCCTTCAAAACCAAGCAACTGTTGGGTACCCTCAAAACACGACACACTTTCTCTGCGAAAACCGTCGAAAAGGGATCATCATGATCGTGAGCTGTTTACATCCCTCAGCTCTGCTCGGTATCGACTGGAATCACCTTCGGGTTGAAAATGTTTGACAAGCGCGGAAGAGAAGCGCTAGTGCAAAGAGATGCTTCCACAGTTGGAATTGGAACCTTGGTGCCCGTTTTGAATCCCTTGCGGAAACCTCTTCCCCATGATTCTTGCGGTCGTTAACCCTCGCAGGAGCAGAATCATCTTTCTGTGACCGGGCCTTTCGGAAGCGAACCGATTTTGTTTTCCCGCAGGTGTTCTTTTGTGTGAAATTCTAGTGTCGTTTTGCGTCAGTCGTTTGCTCACCCAAAGACTGATCTGGAACTGGAACAAGGGCCCCCCAACAGGAAACGGCAGGCGAAGAAAGATAAACAATTGATATATATTTGTTGCATGGTCAAAATGGCTTTGAATTAAGAAACACACGTGCACCCTCACACCTGAAATGTGGGCGCGAGGGTGGGTATTTGTGTTTTGCTTGGCATGCTGAATGGCTCAGAATTTATCTCTTCCCAAAAGGAAACCCAGAGGGGATGGATCTTTGGCGTTTGGTTTCCCTGATTTTGCGCCCAGCTGGCCGTGTGACACGCGCGCGTTCTTTTCTCAGGCAGCATTTGCTGAACTCCCAGTGGTATTTCACTGCGGCGGACGCCCTTTGGAAGGCCTGACGGACGGCCCCAAAACGGAGTGAGGTGCATACCTGGAGTTGCTGTTGTGTTGTTGCTGTTGGACCTGTCCTGGGGCGTACCCCTCCCCCCTTGACGGAACTGCTTGTGGCCCTTTCTGCATGAAAAGACTTTGGTTCGCCGAGCCTTGAAGATGAACCATGTGCAAGTCAGATGTGGTTTAGTCAATTATCACGATGACATTTATGGCCCAGAGGTTCATGAGGTAGGTACTCATGTTGCAAGGTACAAGACTAATGGCATGTCCGCATGTCATTGCTTTGGCTCAAGGAAAAGAGCGCGTTGCACGCGCTGCCACAAGGTTAAGGGAGAGGTCGCAGTCACGGCGGGGTTCGTTCCTTTTAAGGTCCCGGGTTCCCCCGTTGTCGAGAAAACTGTGTTTCCCTCTCCTTTGAGTGGTTATCAGCCGTAACGCTTTTCGGGTAAACAAACCCTTCCGTGACTGCGACCTTTTGGTCGCACATGGAAGTCGGCCCTCACCGCGGCACTCGCGGTGGGAAAGGGCCGCGTGCCCGTCTGTACAACACCCTGCAACAGATCGTCGTAGACGAGTACAAGAGACAGGACAGACGATTCCGGTGGATCAGGTTTGCAGACGCCTGAAAGCAACAGGTTGAGGCGCTCTTTTCCTGGCGTGAGACATTGGATAGTTGGCACCTGTGGTTTTTCGACCAAGAAGCCTTTGAGGTAATCCAGGCCGCGGACAACGCTTATCAGCAACGTCTTGCATCGGTTGAAACCACTGGTGTGGTCTTGTCAGGTGTGCAGTCTCAGGATAGAGCCGCAGCCTCTGGCGCGGCGGAAGCAGCAAGCAGTGCAGCGGATTGGCTACGCCCTCCCACGCCTCCTTCCGCTTCATCCTGGCTACAAGACTCACGCACTCCATTGCCTCGTATCCGACCATCAGCAGAGGAAAGACAAGTGTTGCGAGGTGCCGCCAAGACAGCACTTCGAGGGGTATACGCTAGAGCTGCGGAAACGCGGCGGGAGAGCAGCAGGGAACGGTCCCCATCGCCACAAAGGTCGAGGTCCCCATCGCCTCCGAGACAAGGACCGACTGCTGCTACCCCTGTGGAACAACGGGCGCACAGCGTTGAACCCGCGCTTGCGCGGGAGGGCAGACCATCCAGGACTTCCCTTGCCACACGGCCCATCGTTTTGGCTCCACAGAACAGTATATACCCTGTGACACGATTTGACGAGCACGGCACTTGGGTGCTCGTTCGGGAGGCTTCACAGCCGCGTGAGGCGACATCTCACCGCCGAGCACAGCGGACATCCGGACATCTCCGTCAGGCTGACCCGTATTCGCTTGCGGACGAGACGTGGAGAGATCCCCCAAGAAGATCATCCACAAGCTCGCGATCACGATCCCCAGATCGACGCCCAGGACCAGCGGAGCATCTCGACGCCTATAGCTCAGAAGAGGAGCCTCCGCAGGACGCGGAATTTTTTTCAGAACTGGCAGGGCGGCTTACGTGCCTCGGCGCGTATACGAGGCACCGACACACGCTGAGCCTATTGCTTTGCATAGCCGGAGGATTGGAGCAATACAGCAACCGCCACCAAAGGCCGCACCAAAGGTCATTTTTGGCAGCAAGCCTCCATTGCCCAAAGAACTTCCTCGTGCAGCTTCTTCGGCACCGGCAAAAGCTGCATTCGGGTACAAGGCGCCTCCGCGAGGTTTGAACAAGGCCGAACCCAGAAGCAAGTCAGGCTCAAACCCACCACAAGGGCACATCGTCAAGCCGCCACTGCCGCAGGTCGTTAAAGCAGCTGCTACAAGCGCTGCAACTTCCGAGGCTGGCACACGCTTTCGATCGCCACCAAGAAGGCCGCCGCCTGTGCCACCCCCGCCGCCTACAAGGCCAGTGCCGCCCAAGGAGCTCACCATCGCTCTTGACTGGCACGGAGTTCTTGACGTCGGGCAGCAGGGACCCCACCTCAACCCGGAGGTTATCCGGCATCTCGTTCAATTCGCAGCTGACTACGCACCTATCAATTTTGTGGTGCTATCCTTCGTAGGCAGGGCAGCAAGCGAGTTTCGACGCCGCGAGTTCCAGACCGCCCTGGAGCACGCGAAGGCGACAGCTGGACTCACCTTCTCTGCGATAAAAATCGTACACGAGCGGTTGGGCAGGGGCGGCAAGGCAGACGCTCTCTTGGGGCTGGGAGCCACGTCCTCGTGGACGATCAAGCTGCGATCGTCCGCGAGGCGCAGAAGACTGGCATCGCAGCGTTCCGCAACTTCCCCCATTTTGGGCCGAGCGGATTTGCCAACGCGCTTGAGAACATTGGGGAGTACATCGAGTCCCGGAATCGATTTTTCATTCCGGCGGCAAGGGGCCTGCACCCTTCGCAGTACCTCGAGGAGCTCCATCGGTCTGCATCCCAACTGCCCGCCAGTCGGGTCCTTCGATAGCCTTTCTTTGCAAGCCGTTAAAACCGTCGCTTTGCGCGGTACAGCATCTTTGCAGTTACAGGCATTCGATTTGCAGATTTTCTCATTAGCAGCTTGGCAACATCCTTCGATAAAGCACCAGAGTGCGGCAGTGCGGATCAATCAATCTACAAGTACAATTACAAGTACAGAATTCATCAGGTGCAAAGCAGCAGGGCGTATTTTCTTGAGTGGCTCACTTGAGCGTTTCGCAACCAGCTGCCAATCCAGGGATATCTCCTCGTAGCACCTTTTGACACGCTGCTCAAAGCGCGTGGAGCTAGCTTCGTGTGAGTGCAAAACTGCATTGCTGTGTCATGGCTTCCACGGGCTTATCACCGCCTTCGGAACCCCGTTCAAGGTCAACCCCAAATAGGTGATTCTGAACCGGATGACCCTGACCTAGCCATGGTTCCTGCAGCTATGTCCGCAGTTCGCACATCCACACCTCAACGAGCAGCCCAAACACGACCATCATCACCCCCAAGTGGTCCGATCGTGTCAGAACCTACATCATCCGAAGCTTCCCCAGCCATACAGTTTCCTTCACAGGGATCGCAATTACCCGACCCGATGACTAACGTACCGGCTGCCGCATTTAGTGCTGGAGCTGCGGTGCAGCAAGCTCATCGAGCATCCGACCTCGCTGCCCAGGCAGCCAATCACGCCTTGCATCAACAGCAGGCCGCCGACCAGGCGAGACAAGAGGCCGGATGGATCAGGGAAAGGGCTGTAAGAGAAGTATCAGACGTTAGGGTTCAGGCCGCTCAGCTAGCTTCGCAAGCACAGCAGGCTGTACAAACAGCACAACAGAGTGAGGCTCAGGCTAGGCAACTAATCGAGCAGACACGACAGGAAGCCATTGGCCATGTCGAGAACGCACGGCAGGTTGTTAATGCCACTCAACAGGACGCTCAGCAAGAGGTTCAACGCATTGTTCAAGAGGCTCAACAGGCAATCTCGCAAAGGGAACAAACCATTGCCAGTCAAGAGCATACCATTCGTGGATTGTCCCAGGAAAATTCTGTGATGCATCAACGACTTGGTGATCTCGAACGTGTTGTTGCACACCTCACCCAACAAGCTCGTGCGACCCCTGTTCCGATTCAAGAGTCCCCGCCAAAAGCCGCATCAATAGCCGAAACAGCTACGGAATCAAGCGCGGCTAAAGCCTCAAGTCAGGGCACAGTTCCCCCAGGAACCCATCAGCCGGTTGGAGCACCTCAGGTTTCAGATTCACAAGATGCCTCCGGTGTTGCCGCATCGTCGCAAGGGAATGCTTTTACAAGTACTATCCCCGACCCTCCGTGTGGTTCTGTTCAAAGTTCAGGACTTGGTCACGATGCCCCAGCTGATTCAAGGGACCCTGGTGGGGTGCAACAAGTCAACATCTCGCAGGCCATTCGTGCTAGGAGCAGCGTCCTCTGTTGGAGACGCACCCCCCGGCGCGTCGAGGACTAGCGGGTTGGGTAGAGACGGTACAAGGGATCAAGCCGATGTGAGAGTGCAAGTGACGGCTTTAGCGGAAATGGTTCAGCAGCTTTCCCAATTGGTTGCTAATCAGGTGGCTCCGCCACCTCCGCCTCCGGCCGCACCACCTCCAGTGCCTCCCACGCCCCTCGCAGGGGCGCCGCCTCCGCCAAAAGCTGGCAACGGCACTTGTGTTCCGCCAGTACCAATCACAATGTTGGGAGGGTTGTACTCGTCATCCCCACAAGCGCCATCGGCCGCAAGCTCCGACTCATCATCAGACTCCGATGGAGATGATGATACCCCACAATGTCGAGTTTGCGGCGGCAGCCATGAAGACACGGAATGCCCATACCTTACCATGAATGGTGGTGGGGGAGGTGGGGGAGGCTCTGGCCAGTTCCCCAATGCAGACCGTCTCAAGCAGCCGATCTCAGTGCAGGCATGACCGCCGTAGATCACGGGAGTCCGTTGTCCGCGTCAAGGATCTCAAGGATCTTGTACTACCATCCCCGGCGGAGAACGCTGGTCAGGCTAGAGGTTTCGTCAACCAAGTTTTGATGGCCATCGGTCGACTCCAGAAGACCCCCGGAGATGAAGTTTACCAGTGGGCCCAAGCATGCATGTCCTCCACCGAGCAAGAACTCATCGCGGACAAGCGTTTCCCACGTCTAGATCGTGAAGTAGCCGCAAAGCTCCTTAAAACCTGCCGCAAAGGTAAGTTTGGGCTCTTGTTTCAAAACATGGTTGAACAAGAGAGAATCTCGTCAGGTGGGATGCCCGTAGGGAGAATCATGTTGCGCGCCATCTTCAAGCACTTCCAGTTGGAACGAGGTAGGATCGGAACCTTAGGAGGCCGTAACTTGTTAAAGTTGTCTCTTGCAGGTCCGTCCCTTGCTGACTTGGATGCCTTTCGGGAGAAGTACGTTTACGTGCTGACCGCAATCCCCGTGGCAGAACAACCCAGGGAAACAACCTTGTTTGATCACCTGTTGGATGAGCTGGAAAAGTGCACTGCGCTGAAGCCTAAGGTAGAAAAGGCACGGGAAGCCCCTATCGGCAGCCACCGTAG